CTTATTACAAGCTCATTGTTTATTGGACATGTAATTATGCAAGTGGCAAAAATAGTTTGTACGTTGCAATGGCCCAAACAAGTCAGCTGAAAGCATTGCTTCAAGTTACTGCGGCTAAAATGGATATTGAAGATGAACTTCTTGAGCACTACTTAAATCAGGTTGTGAGAGTAGTAGGTTCATCTGATTTGTCAAAAGGTTTGTAGTTGGCTTTACCTGGTCTGAATATATATAATTTAAAAATAATGCACGTAACGCTTATGGTAGAATAATAATACAATTAAGTCTAGGATTTTCCTCATCTCCTTCATTTTATTTGTCGTTCAAGTACGTAATTTTTAAACCTCCAGTATTTATGACTCCTTGTTGGTATGTATAGTATTAGCCACGTAGTCTCTTTCATGATGTCATGCTTGATCCTAATCGCTTATTTGACTCTAGACCTTCGGGCAGTTTATTGAAAGGCCACATCAATATGTCTCCTTCCCAAGACTTGTTATATGCTTACATTCAGGGCCTAACCTTGACGATAAATAGCTATTTTTGAGGCTAATTTTTGTACATTACAAGTCATGTTCTACTAATGTACATCAAATTATGCTGTTGTATGTGATTTCGATCGATTCTAGTGTGCCCCAGAAGAATATGTCAGTCTGTTCAATTCCTTAACCCCCAAAGCTTGTTAACACACTAGTGTTGCCACATTTCATGCAGTTATTTATGGGATCAAATGTATAAAAGACAAAAGGATATAAACTTCTTGTTAAAAGGTTTCATTTAGTCTGCTTTTAATGTGACTACAACATAATCTGGAGTGGTTGACGTTAACGAGTTACAATCATTAGTAATATGACGGAACCCAATCTCACTATCTTGGAGAAATTTTGGGGGTTTTGTGCCTTGTTCCCGAAATAGAGATATTGAGAATGGCCACTCGACGGACAACTAGTACTGTGTTTTTGATATTTCTGTAGTGTCTGTGTAAATCCTGTTCTGTTAAACTAATACTAAGTCCACATTAAATACAAAATATCTATAAACCAACTATGGTTCGATCACTTCTAGTCCTTTTTTATAAAGGTAGCAGGTTTAATGCAACTGTAGTCCCTACATATTTTAGCCTTAGGGTTCAGTAAAACGCCTCTAGCTGACCAATATCTTCTGTAGAGACGGATACTATGCAATAATGTAGTTTTGAACAGACAAATACGCGGTAAGTAGTGTGAATTGCTTAATATCTAAACGACTAAAAACTCGATACATCGCTTAAGCTTTCAGCGGCTGTTGCACTGCAGTATTCAGTCCCTTTAAATGTTGACTAGCTTCTGCCTGTAAGATCAGTATGTGTCTAAATGAAGAAAAACTCAGTATTATTCATTGGGTGTGGATTTGTGCCTTTCTGCTCAGTATATATCTTAATGCACTCGCATACATTTTTTATCGCTTCTCGACTGCTTAACTAATTTACTAAGATTCTTTGCAAACCTCCTCACCACCCTCTACTTTTTGTACTGCTCTTCATTTCTTGGTATCATCGGATTATAAAGATATCGATAAATAACAGGTTGCTCATGCATCTTAATATTAACCAACTTTTCTCTAGTCTAAGTAAGCTCATTACATCCTTCACCTAATTTAGTCCGAAATTTTCGTGCTGCACTTTTTATATGTTAATGTATATGTACCACATCTCAATCCATTTTCCTATCATTTTCTATCATTTCGTATCTCGTATGTTTTATATCTGGTAATGTGTATTTCCCAGTTCAACATTATAATCTCTCTCCTTTAGCACACACAGAAGAGTTCATATTATCTGTCAAATGCTTAATTAATATTTGTTCAGCTGTTCAAGGAACACGTCTTTTAACAACTGTGCTGTCAACTCAAGAAAAACGTGAAGAGTTCACTCGGATCCTTACTACCCTCTCTTTGGATAATTCAAGAAGTCATGCTGATTTAGCGTCTCTAATGATTGACTTGATTTCAAATTTGACTAGAGATTCTGTTTGGTTGGGTCATTTTGGTGAGCACTTTGATAACAAACATATTAGATCGATCCTCAGTACAGGTTCTTCTATCCAGAAGTTTCTTCCAGTAAGTTAATTTCACTAATTGGGTTTGGTTATTGAAGATAGTACTTAACCTAAGTAGCTTAACATCAGTACGCCACTCCGTATGCTCATCAGAACTATTACGAAAGCTGACCGGTTTATTTTCAAATGTGCATTCCGTTCCTATCAAGATTCTAATAGCTGGCATAATAAAAAACTGTTCATTTGAAGATGGTAATCCGTAATATTTTAACTTATTTTCAAATATGGCTTTCCAGAGCTTCATTGTGAACTTTTCAACAAGGGCGTTGGTTTGCTCGATGCACTTTTAGTTCCACTTTGTGGTCCAGAAGATTGTATTGATAAAGAAGACCGTGCTATACTGCCTAAGTCTGTGCAGACTATAACTGGGAGCTCCCAGTTTTCTCGTTTGTTCTCCACTGAGTTGTATCTTACTATTTGCCAAACATTTTTGCAGGTAATCTTTTTTATTTACTCTTTAAGTGTCAATTTAGTTCTGCTCCACCAGTCACGGAAGAACATTTCTTCGGTCCAATGGAGTTTATTTTATTTTGCGTGAGTTACACAATTATGTAGCGAAAGCCGAAGAACAAACACAATGTCCTAGTACTGACGAAGCAGTTACAAACAAGGGATTATTATTTTGCATCGAACAAGTAGTAGATCAACTCATTTGTGAGGAAAGTGAGCGTGATGAGCGCTGTGCAAAATCCAGTCTTAGAGAAATAAATATTGACGCAAAAACTAAAGAGAAACTTGATAGGATGAAAAAAGACTATTTGGAATGCAAGTAATGTCTGATATCGTTAGTGTATTTCATTTTGGCTTTGTAAATACTCAGTACTACAGTTGCTGTTTCTACTCTTTAATTTTTGTACACCTCAATCAATTCTAATTAACGCTTACGACGATGAACTTCAGTTGTTTAACATGAAACCTGTGTAACAACATTCGTTGATGATAATCACCCTTTTTTATCACTAAGTGAAATATTAAACCTTTTCTGCGAACGCCTTGTGGACACTGCTCTGTAAAAAACATCGAATTCTAACGTTCTTTATAATCTGAATGTATTCGACAGCGTTTTCAATTATAAGCTAATTTTCCGTCAGTAGGTTTTAAGGAGATCCAACGTATGGAATAAAATAAATGGAAAAGTAACGGAAAACTTGATAATCGTGCAGCTTAAGCGCGAACTCTACTGAGTTTTTTTCAGTTTCATTCCAGACTTTGCTCAATTTCAAGGTGTATCATTCAGTTTCAAAGTGTACATAAATGCAGTTATTTTAGCGTACATCTGGAACTATGGTAGAAATATAAAGGCCAATTATAAACATTGATTATTCAGTACAGTTTCAGAATGATAATTCAAATTGTAGTATTCAATCTCTAAGTTGTTCCATTATCCCCTCTTTATTACTCTTTGCTTGATATTATACAAATTGAAAAAAAATCTAATCTATCAATCGAGATTAGATCTATAAGTTATAATTATTCCAAAAACAGTTATCTCTGCTCATGTCCGCATTTGGTCTTGTCACAGCTAATGTTAGAAGCTGAAAGTAAGAATCACTGTCGTGTTAGTTTTGTGTTGAGACAGACACAGACTTGGTAATTGAGAAAAAACAACACTAGGGCCCATTTTCACCGTATTCGTTTTAGCTATTTATCAGCAGATAATTCCCACGGAATATTTTAAGAGTAATCTGGGTGTAATTAATTCGTGACAACAAGGATGAGTAAAAAATTAAGTTGTGTATAGTTTGTGTCATAAATAATGGTCAACTCTCTGCAAAGATACAGTATATCGCTTACAGTAAAAATGAACAAATGCTGAGTAAACTATATCATCGGTTTAAAGACTTATATGTACTTCACATTCATTTTGATCTATCTAGTTGCATTAAGTGTATGACTGAATCAATCCATCTGGAAACCACCCGTGTGTGTTGACTTAACATTAGAACTTCTTCTCAGCTATTAAATCACAATATTATGGCACTTGGATTTTATTTAGTGGTATATTTATTGCTCTGGTCTTTAGGTGGTCATATTTGGCTGTATTGTTTTCTGAGAACGATATTAAATAAACTAGTACGGTGAATCTGGTCCCGATAAATCATCAAATTGTTTTATCTTTGTATATATTATATTAGTGGTTTTACGTGGTGCATTTGGTAGCCGAATCACTATAATCCAACTTGTGCATGATCGGTAAGAAGTATGCAAACAATTAGAATCCAAATAGGCATACTATGCTCGTTGTCCACTCCCATCAGTGCACAATGTCTCACCACAAACATGGTTAAATTTCACCGGTTATGTAACATTTAGGTTTACTAAAATACATTGTGTAGTCAATCGTTGCTGATCGTACGATTGTTTGGTTGTTGGTTTGCCGTCTTGAAGATCTGCGTCATATTATATAAAAACTCGACTGAAACTGGAAATGGTGACCACCGGATGACCCAGAAGTATAGTGCTCAATGTCCTTGGTTCGACTACGTGCAGGGACGGAACAACCGTTTAGTGCACTTTGATCTTCAGTGGCTCTTGAACATATCCCATGACTAAGAGTATACACAGATACTGAAAAGCACACTATACTGTACAGACCACGGATGCGATTAAATTCATCATTTTCAAGGCGTTTGGTATGGATCCTCAGCTATCACGTTCTTTTCAATTTAATTGTACTTCGCATCACATAAGGCAGTCGGAACTCCTGGGTTGCATTCAATTCGAGTTGTTACCAAATGGATAAGTCGAATATATAACTTAGCGGTTACGGTAACTAATATTCGAGCTCAGTACCACCTATGTAGCATCATTAACTCTTGGGAAATGTGGCTCGAATTCTCCACCATGAAAATAAGGATTACTGACTGCCATTTCCGGTTAGCAGTTGTACAAAATCACAAACATTTACTACTTAAATGTAAATATAGATTTCTGAAGATATGCAACAACATAAACAGTAAATACAAACGGAATAACACATTACCAAATAAAAAACGGTAAGAATATTTAAAGAGTTCGAAATTCAAAACACTGTAAATGTCCATAATTAATATCACTTAAGTCACAAATTCTGCACTTATGTGTAAATACATACATGAGTTGAAAATGATCTGTCAAAAGAAATATTACTAGTTCATTTGTATGAATGTATATCACTTAATGGGCGCACAGTAGACACAAGGCAAAACTTAATCACATGTGTTTATTTCATATTATATAAAGGAAATGCAAATGAAACAGTAACAAATGGAAAACGAAAGAACTAGTTAGTGGCTAACTCCATTTTGTGTATCTGACAATTTGATTTTATACTGGTTTAAAATTTGATCCAATTGTTGATTATTTCCAGAAAAGAATGCTGATGTTGCATTCTGTAAAAGCATTAGTTGGTGTTGCATAACACGCAACTAATAACAAACGAAGTGTAAACATGAAAATGGAAGAAGCAGAGATTAAAAATATCGAACGAATATTACTAATCTTAGTAGTAGGTAAATCACATATAAATGACTGATGACACTCAATTAAAAGTAGAGATTACTTAAATCAGTTATCGTTTACTAATTAGCTTGTAGGTCTGATACTTTACCTTCGTTTCGGTTTGAACGGGTAGACTGTATCATAACCCTTCGTATTAAAAAGCATGGTTCACAGCCGGCTCACACAAAAATGTACGAAGTACATAGTTTAATATGTTTTACGCAACACTATTGCGTGCATGAAATAATTAAAATATTATAGGTATCATTACCAAGGTTTGATTTGATAATTTCGAATAAATTGAGGATTGGGTTGATTGTTATAAATAAATAGTATATTTGTAATATCCCAATGAGTAGAAAATCAGATTTTCTGACGTTTCGTGACTTAGTGTAAGTCACTTCTTCAGAGAATAAATAACCAAATTAAAACTAATCCAAGTTTAAATACTACAACGGGACAACGCTAGAATAATATTTGACCAATCAAAACGTCAGAAAATCTAATTTTCTACTCATTGGGATATTACAAATATATTATTTATTTAATTAAAATATTAGTTTGCAACCAACCTGTAAAATTTCCCCGAAATCAGCAGAATTATGGAACATTGACACCGAAAATTTTACCATCATATTCATGCTAGAATCCTTCATACTAACACGAAGAAATAGAGCGAATCACTCAGAACAGATGCTTAAGTATTATAGATAATACGTTTTTTCTAAAAAGGATTACTGTATGTTTGTTTCGTAAGCTTGTGCTTCTCAATTAATTAACAAGTGTTCCTTGAAAAGTCATTATCTTGAAAACTCTTAGCGGATCAGTGACTTGGTAATTAAACCCAGGTGGTATTTGCCAGTCCTCCCAAGTAAGTAAAGGTTAAGTGTCTATTGAGAGATATAGACACACCTAATGTTTTAAAAATAGAATGGATTATGATGTTTTCAATGAGTTCGGTCTTCTGATATATTCCATAGTGCGAAAACTACTAAAATATTCACCTTTAATATTAATACACGTATACCTAAATTACTCAAACGTAAAATAATGACAGTGAGACACTATTATTGTGGTATACATTCCAGTTAGTCTTTTAATAACAGGGCAATTATCTTAGAAATAAATCGATGTTGAAGCACGTAGTCTTCTCAAGAGTTGCGATTCAGTTGTTGCCTTAAAATATTGGATACGTCATAGTCGAAGTTCTATTGTGCATCAGTTGTTCAATTCATCTAATCGCCATAGGTTTAATGTCGTATTAGCAACGTACTGACACAGCTTTCGAAAAAGCTGTAACAGTTTACAAGACTTTTGATTACTTCTGAATTTCTACACTAATAGTGATTACCATCGAATGGAAATTATGCGTGTATAGTTTTGTTGTTAAATGTACAATTTTGGATTTGATAAACTCACCCTGTTTTCTTGTAAAAATTCCAATTTACATAGAACAGCTTTTCTCAATTGGGAATACCGTTCACAAGCTGCATCTAATCGTGATTGTAAATTATGATTATCGTGAATCGAGTCAGTGGCAAATGAATTCCCTGACATTGTAATCGTAGTGGGTGTGACAGTATCAGAATTATTATTAACATTAGATTTTTTACTTTTTGTTTGGTTCATTTCGTTACGATAAGCATCATATTGTATACGAGCCGACTGCATACTAGAAACAGTAGTCCATGTATCTGTAAATGTATGACTAACCAGTGTGTTCAAAGAATTAACAAAATGGTTTAATGATGCTACAGGGATTGAAACAAAATAAATACCATAGATGAATAAAAAGATTAATTGATTTTGTATTTTAAGAAGATAGAGAGGAAATTAATAAGTAAATCACACTGAACACCTCTAAGCCAACATCAGTATACTTTGAAAGGATGATGAGACGACGCTGATTTGAAAAATGTGATATATCTGTACAATACATTTTTAGGTATTAACTCGGTCTTATTTCATTCTTTTAATTTATACAAGGGATTGACTGTCGTAAAGATAACAAATTTCTCATAATAGACAGACAGGTATGTGAAATTAGAAAAGTTGAAGTAATTGTATAACGATAATATGTTCAGTAAGCATCTGACAAAAATATATTATTGCATTGATTAATAACAAAACGCACTACGGTAGCCAATCGTAGTGTCTTTTGATATCAGTTTATTTATTATTATTATTTTATTTTAACACATAGGTATTGGCACAAGGAGGCACCAAATACATATGCGCCACACGAATCTTAATTGACTTGTATAAGGGTTGTGATACTGCCCGGGTGCCCAAACCGAAGCAGGTGGTTTTCTTAGGGGGCCACACCCCGAGCCTTCGACCTGAACGTCTGACCCACAAGACAGTGGAGCATCGTAAGGAGATGCAGTCCCATGGTAGCCGGTGACCAACGATTGGTTCATACGCCATTTTTCCTTCAGGATACTGGAGCCCATATGCACCATTGGTTTGAGATCCGGTTAAAGCGCCGGACATTCGCTTTTCGTCCTCTCATTTTCGTAAACAACACCCCCGCCACGAGAAGGCAGTGAGTAGGACTTCCCTGGCAGAGGCTATATACGCGTGGCCATGTGAGAGCATTTCGAGAGGGAGAGCGGACTCTCCCCACTCTCGGCCGTACCAGGGCATTTGGGGGCATCAGTTTATTTAGAAGTTGCTTGTGCTAATTATCACATTTTACTGCGTAACCATCATCTGGCTAAATTTCATATCCATTTAAAGTCAAACAAATATTGATTAATACACTACATTTCTTCAGAATGACACTGATTTATCGATTACGATCGACTGAAGCGATTCGGATGTTACGACAAAAACTATTTTGATTATACGGTAAACAGGTTAGAAATGAAACCAGAAGCCACTATTATATGCGTGCTTAATTATGTTATAATAAATTAATCAACTTAGTGTAATGTTAAGGAAGTCTTCTTAACACCATAAGGCTTGTACTAATATATATAATGGGTTTGTAGAGATTTAGTAGTTACACACTCATCGTATAAAACAGAAATCTACAAATGATTAATCAAACAGTAATATTTATCATGGTCATGCACTTCGTTTTATGGTTAAATAAAGGTCGTAGGTCAGATAATTGTTGGAAAAAGCGGAGGTGGTCAGTGCATGACATGGTGCCGTGATATGAAAGAAAGCTGTGTAGGAATGGCTTCTGCTGTTCCTTTACGACCCCTTGGTTGAGGTCCCAGAGACAGAGCAACAATGTGGCTTGAGACGTTATTGGACGTCCTGCCGTAACATTCTTTTACCATCTTCATATAAGAATAAATTATTTAACTGAAAGAATTCTTTTTGGTCGTATTTTCTTAATGAAACGCTCCTTCCACTATTTTTTTCCACGCTCATATTAAAACTATTCATTTTTTCCCTTTTATCATAATCACCTTCCTTTTTCTATCTCTTCACAGTCTCATTTTTATTGTGCAGCGCATATATATTTTGACGCATCTTTGTACCAGTGTTTTTAGTGGAGTTTTGTTCTCTGGGTTGGATGGTGTGGTCGTGGAGCTTTCATCGTTTTTCTGAACAACATCATCAGCACAAACCAGATAGAAGTGAAGTGTTCGAATTTCTCCACATATGACTCACAGTTTGTCCTGTAAACCCCGATCTTGATTGGCTACCTGAAGTTTGTGCTGATTATATCGTTCAGAAGAACGATGAAAGCTCCACGACCAAACCATCCAGCTCAAAGAACAAAACTGCATCAAAATCATCCACATGAACTACAAATCTTTGTACCAGTGTTTGTGTTTAAACAGATACAAAACAAATTTGTCACATAAGAGTATAGGGTCGGACAGAGTTAAGAAACGATTAGACTAAAATATAGCAACTTCATGGGCTTACTATTATGCAATCCGAAAAAAAATCTTTTCTATAGCTTTACCGCTAGTATTAAAGAACTTTCAAACAACAGTAGTTAAATGGTAACAAAATTAACACTGCAACATTGATTTATGATGAACAATAATCCAGTTATCATAACCTACACCAAAAGGAAATCTATTCAGCCCATCTAACTAATTTTAGGGACATCTTATCAGTTTAAACCACAGCCATTTAATAATGAGAATTAAACATTCATACTTGTAAATTGTTTTCACCTATAGAGAAGTAAAAGCCTGCATTTCTTTTCAAAATCGCTTAAAAAACTGGTCTAGTTGGTACCAAAAAGCTAAATGCTTTCCATACTAATGGAAATATATAACCATTAAAATAAGTTGGCTTATAGTACCACTGGCTTGATTGATGTTAGTTACGTAAATAAAACAGAAGGGTTTCATTAGTTCCTTACGAGCCATTAAGATATTATGTTTTTTGGTGTACTTGTAATAACCAAGACAATTTACACAAATAATAATAACAAGTGTATCTCATTTACCAAGTGGATATTTATATAGTCAGCTTTGAACCACACTTATAATGTAATGGCTGGCGTAACATCGCTCTGCTAGAAAGCCGAGTACACGAACCAATTATTCACTGCCTAATTCGAGTAACAGAATGAAATAATGCGATCGATCCTCCCTTCTGAAAGCGCCTTATCTTTAGATTGGACTTTAACTTAATAATCTAAGTGTAACAGGCATATCGTGAGACATAAAATTCTTGGATTTGACATTTGTAGACCGTGCAAATACATTATCAAAGAGTCCTATACCAGGGAAAACAGCTGTTTTTCATCTGAAGTAAGCTCATGAGAAAAATTAAATAAAACGTGAAATCAAGCCAAAAAGTACACATAATCCATACCCAATAGTTTTTCTCCATTTGATATAACAATACGTTGAGTTTCTGTATTATAGGTGAATTCACCGCTTAAATCAGGCTGCTGTACAATTAAAGTAGTCATATGACTCGTAAATGCACGTTGATGATGAATAGTTTCACGAAAACTATTAGCTAACTTTTCAGCGAGGTTATGCAATATTCTATACTGTTGATGCATATTTCTATATCGAAACAAAGATAAAAGAAAAGAATACTACACACTAATTATTACTGGTTAGAAAGCTTGGATAAACGTCAGCTGGAAGTTTGGTATTCGTACAGAGAATGTTGAAAGCATTTTACCTGGAAAACGGAATTTCACCTTCCCTCATCAGAATAGATCTGACGACTCTTAAATATGATGTTCAATAACAAACAAGAAAACCCGTCGAAAACCAAATATGTAATAATTATCAATACTATTAGAAAACTAGTGGTGGTAAGTTATGTTTGTCCCCTGTATATATTGAAGTACACTGATTAAGTAGATCTTACGCACTACATGTTTACAAAACTCCTAGCAAGCAAAACCTAAAATGAAAGAATTTTTCATCTTAACCTATGGTAAAACAATCCTAATTTTACTTGAAAGATTTTACTCAACTAAAGACCCTATAACGATGGCGTAATCAGTTCATAATACTATTCATATTGGCTCCGAGGACTCTGTTTAAAAGTGTTTTTTCTTCGAATATTATTGCGATCCACAACGTTAAGTAAGTATTTCGGATATCGAAAACAAGTCATATTCCCATAATAGTCAGTCTTATGCAACGTATGCAACATATATATCCTCAAGTCCCAACACCATATCAGCATAGAAAGATGAAAGGACAGGTTAATAGTTTTGGAAAAATTGTTGATTGTTTAATATGTTGGCGAGTTGAAATTGTGTATGTGTAGGTGTTAGCGGGACGTAGATTGGATTAAATCATGCTCAATGCACGCTTGCGTTGGCACACTCTGATCGGCCAGTTCTTGTCCAATCAGCACTTGTCGATACTTGGAGAATACTCTAGAATCTTCTCATGTAAAAACTATAAATATACTAACGTTTATCCTATTGTGCTTCTTACTTTCATTTGGAGTATAATCTCTTTCCTGTTTAACCGTGTTCTGATTTGGGGACTTGTCGAATGAATCGGTGTCCGAGAATACTAAGCAATAAGAATAGCTGGGTTGTATAAAGAGAAAATTATAACAGTAGGAGAATGAGACAAAAATATTCTCTAAGCATCTCTTATTGGCCCAACTACCTCATAGATGTCACATGACAAATTTTTGAAAGTCCTAGTGACAATCTTTCCCAGAAACCCACTTATAGTTTACGTAAACAACTTCGATTGCTGCTAGACAATATTTTTTACGCACCTGAACACTATTCTGTTAAAGGATGTACATGTGATTACACTCATGAAATCACTTGAGTATGACATAGTTTCTATACGGTAAATATTTTACACTTAATTTCCTATCAAAGCCAGAAATGACGTGCACCAGCTACAAAAATCAATTAAGTGACTAAAACAAGTTAATACATGATTCGTCTTTTGTTAAAAGTAACTACGTTTTATTTTTAACACACAAGTTAGTCTAAACGCTTGCATATTCAATGCAGTATGTTCAAAAGCGGTCATTTCATATATTTATCTGATGAGCCTGAATGAATTGGTAACACTGGTTCCTACCTTGAATTCTAAAATTTTACCTTCAAAATAGACTATGTTCTCATAAAAATTATGTCTACGCTAAAACTTTTATCATCGGCATTTTCAGTCAGTGAATTAGATCCAAAACATCTCAAGCAAAACGCTAATACCTTTGTTCAGACTACATTCGCAACAGTGTTTGGTCTTGTTGTTAAGAGTAAATCCTTTCAAATACATTTTAACAGGAATAATGTTATAAATAAACAATATATTTGTAATGTCCCAATGAGTAGAAAAATAAGATTTTCTGAAGTTTCGTGACTTAGTGTAAGTCACTTCTTCAGAGAATAAATAACCAAATTAAAACTAATCCAAGTTTAAATAGTACAAAGGAATAACAAGAATAATATTATTTATTTATAACAATCTACCCAATGCTCAATTTATTCGAAATTATCAAATCAAATCTTGGTGATGATACCTACAGGAATAATGTTAGTTCAACAATGATCAATAATTTGAAAACAGGAAGTCAGACCTTCCGAAAGCACGTAAGGAAGTAGTACTCAAGTCAGCCAGTCGGTCAGCAACGGCACAAGTTACCATACCTTATTAGCACAACAAAATGAATACCAAATTCACAGAAGCAGTTACTTCAACGGTGGTAGAAGCAAAAACAATTTCATATAAGGATATGATACAAGGAAGAAGAATTAGTTCGTAGAAAGGTATAAAGTAATTTTGATCTCACGGTTTAAGGGAAGACAGAGTGTTAAACACCTACTCCATTGTGATTGATTATGAGCCATGAAATGTGATGGTGTCTCATTTTAAAAATCTAAATCATAACACTATAAAAACAATGTGGTCTAAAAAGTTGACCTTATTATTTTATCTTTATTTTTTCACCAGTTTGGATAAATATCCTCTGTTTCGTCGTTTCTGCCTACGCTCCCACTGACTGCAGTTCGGATGAAGTGAAAGATGAATTTTACAGAAAGCTGTCTGAACTTCTTCAGAAAGCTAAACGTTCAGACATAGTACTCGTAGGAGGTGACTTTAATGCCCAGGTAGGTAGCTTAAACAAAACAGAAAGACATTTAGGTGGGTATTTTAGTATTCCAGCACAGCGAACAGATAATGGTGATCGTCTGCTGCAACTGTGCTCGGACAATCGTTTATTTTTAGCAAACACAAATTTTAAGCATAAGGAGAGACATCGTCTAACATGGCGACCCCCTGCACCAAACCAACGATGGACTCAAATAGACCATATTGCCATCAGTCATCGTTGGAGAGGGTCAATAGAAGATTGTCGCTCATTCTGGGGTACCTGCTTGGACTCTGATCATGCCCTAGTACGAGCACGCATTTGCTTGCGCCTCACTGGACGCAAAAAAGACTCATTAGAACCGAATTGAGTAATGAGAAAGCCAAAAGTAGGTTCCAGGAACAACTGAGGTCACACTTAGTTAGTTCTGAAAACGAGGCTGACCCAGATGTTGCTTGGAAAGTTATACAAGCAGCTGTGGAAACAGCAGTGACATCTACCAGTGATTTAAACCAAATGGTTACAAAAAACCAATGGATTTCGTCAAGGTCTATTGCACTGATAGATTCTCGCAACCTCATCCCATCAGGTTTTGAATACGATGAAGAGCGTAAAGAAATCAGATCTAGATTAAGCAAAAGTCTAAGGAATGATCGTGAGCAGTGGTGGGCAACGAAAGCAAAAGAGATGGAAAAGGCGGCGGCTATAGGGAACACAAGACAACTCTACAGACTAATAAAAGAAACTGGAATTAATAAATCAAGTGTAAGTCAGACCATTTCGGAAAAATACGACACTCTCATCTGCTCCCAGTCCAGACGCTTAGAACGATGGGCGGAACACTTTAAGGAGCAGTTTAGCTGGCCTTCAGCTACTCTACAACTACCCTCTATTCCCAGACAGTGTGAATGGAACATTGAAGTAGGTCCCCCAACTCTAGCTGAAGTTCAAAAGGCTATAGCTAATCTGAAACGAGGAAGGGCAGCTGGTCCAGACGGATTGGCCCCAGAGGTCTTTAAGGATGGTGGTCTAGTCTTAGCGATTAGGTTGACTAATATTTTAGCTAAAATCTGGGAGTTAGACGTTATTCCATCTAACTGGTCACAATCACTTATCGTCCCAATATTTAAGAAAGGATCAAAATCATCCTGTGACAACCACAGAGGGATTAGTTTGACTAATATAGTATCTAAAATACTAGCTTCGATAATTTTCGGACGCCTAACTAAGACTCGTTAGCTGCAAACACGAGAAAATCAGGCTGGCTTCAGACCTGGTCGTGGCTGCATCGACTAAATATTCACCATTCGTCAGGTTCTAGAACACAGACATACTTATCGGCGTCCGACAATAGTGGTCTTCCTTGACTTAAAAGCAGCGTTTGACTCTGTTGACCGGGAGGTTCTGTGGCAGTGTCTGTCATTGAAAGGCGTACCTCAGAAGTACATAAACCTTGTGAAGGCTCTTTACTCGAACACTACTAGTCGGGTCAGAGCCTATGGCGAACTGTCATCTGCTTTTGCAACCTCAAGTGGCGTCCGTCAAGGCTGTCCACTTTCTCCTTTTTTGTTTAACTTTATCATAGACATCCTGATGGAAATAACGCTCTCATCGACTGACTTCTCGGGTATTGATCTCCTACCAGGAGGTCCACTTATTGACTTAGAATACGCAGATGACATAGTCCTGTTTGGTGAAGACGCTGATGAAATGCAGAGTCTTTTGGTAGCACTGAGCAACAATGCTAGAATGTTTGGGATGCGCTTCTCTCCCTCCAAATGCAAGTTGTTGCTGCAGGACTGGTCTGCGTCAACATCTGAACTAAGGATAGGGGGTGAAGTAGTCGAACGCGTTGACAACTTCACTTATCATGGAAGTCTGATCAGCCCTAATGGGTTGGTGTCTGACGAAATCTCAGCACGGATTCGAAAAGCTCGTTTGGCCTTTGCCAACTTACGTCATCTATGGCGAAGGCGAGATATCCGTCTATCAATTAAGGGACGAGTATACTGCGCGGCAGTTCGTTCCGTCCTTCTATACGGCTGCGAAACATGGCCTTTAAGAGTGGAAGATATTCGTAAGTTACTAGTATTTGACCACAGGTGCCTTAGAAATATTGCGGGTATCTGCTGGGATCACCGGGTAAGTAATAGTGAGGTTAGACGCAGGGTATTAGGGAATGATGGTAAATCAGTTGATGAAGTTATGAACCTTCATCGACTGAGATGGTTGGGCCACGTGTTGCGTATGCCTGAACACCGATTACCACGACGCGCAATGCTGACTAGTGCAGGGGATAATTGGAAGAAAGTTAGGGGCGGCCAAACCAAAACGTGGCATCAGTGCTTGAAGTCACTAACTTCTGGTCTGAGCCATGTTGGGAGATTCAGACTGCCTGGTTGGGGTCCGCGTGACTATCGTAACCAATGGTTGGAGACTCTTGGTGACATGGCTCAGAATCGATCACAATGGCGTCGGTGTATACACTCTCTGTCTTCCTTAAATTAAGAGATTAAAATCGCTTCATATCTGTCTAGGAACTAATTCTTTCTTCCTTTACTATCTCCTTATACACAATCTTTCTTCTATATATTACCACCACTGAATTAACTACTATGAATCCGGTGTTCATCTTGTTGTGCTAATGCGGTATGGCAACTTGAACCGATGCATATACGTGCCTGGTCCTACGTTGCAGCTGACTGAATATCCTCTATAAATAGGAATAGGCACTGCAACACTAACTTTAACGATCACAGATGCGGGAAAGTGTCACATGGCAATTTGGTGTCGTTTAGTTGATAGGGCTACTCGAATTTACTTTAAAACAATACGTATAGAAATTAAAAATTTTAATTCATTAATGTGGTACACTTGTTTGTAAATTAAATAACTGAATATCACACGCTAAACACTTTTCGAACTAACCTAAACATTGAAATTCGATCCTCTAATTCTTGATCACAAGTTACACTTGCTGTTCCAAGTTTTTCTTCAATCATTTGTTTTGTACATTTGAATGTTGTTAAACTCCAATGTTTCAAATTTTCCAAACGGTATTGTAGGTTAAGACTATCATATGATTCCATAGGTCCGGCCTCGTTACTAGGTCTATCTAGAAAACAAGTTAGAAATCAAGCAATATAACCAACCCTCACCTCTTGATAATGATGAAACAGTGTTAACTATGCTGCTGCTAGAAGTAAGGTTCTGTGAATGTTCTATAGAGTTTCTGAAGACACTGGATTTTGGTTCATGATGAATAGATGGTGGATTAGACGGTGCGGTAGTATAGGCACTAGCGCTAGCTCTCATTTATTTACATGAATTTCTATGAACTAAAGCTGAAAAAACATTGCAAAATAATGCATACATCAAAAACTAGCACGTATCAGAACATTTAGTTGAAAATATGACTAATTTATCAAATACAGGCTCACGTAATTTCCTTTGGAATACACTGTATAGATTCATTGTACTATTCAACTACTTAAGCAGTACACGGAGTAAGGATCGAGCATGGGATTTACTGGCTGAATGAGAAGTACCTTGACTTACTGGAAACTATAAGAAAAGGAGAACTGTGGAATCAAGTGATAGAAATACCATGGGAAATGGCAAATATCTCTACGTTACTACACCTACTCCTAGTTCGATTAACCTAATCAAAGAATGTAATATCATGGTTGAAAACAGTGACAGCATACATTCGTTTATCAATGTAAATTTCGCAAACTAAATTGGTTACTTGACTTCCAGATGGTATACTGTAATGAAACGAAGCACAAATTACACCAGTACACGGCTGGACAATCAAATACGTACTATTAAACAGGAATGTGATTAGAAAAACAGTAAGAGTCGTAGATGCATATGTTGGTTCATGTGTATATTTCTAAGCTCGTGTAAACGTATATGTGCATATACGCACTGACTGATACAAACATGCATTTACAAGTTCAGGAAAGAGCAACTCAAAAGGAAATCTATAGCTTCTATCGAGCGACATATTAAACAAAAGTGAGTTTAGTGTTTGAACGCTAAGTCATATTTAGTTGTGTCCATCACCATACCTATGCAAAATGTTTACCAGATTAAATTACTGCCATTAAAATAACGGTAAGAATCCGTCCCAGAATAACTTTATTCTGTGGTACGCGCTAGTATAAAGTTTAAAAGCCGAATCTTTCAGTGGTAGTTGTGAGGTAATTTTTAAGATGAAATTGTGCGAAACATGAGAACCATCCCTAGCAATACATATTTATCCCATGAATATGTCAACTTTATCGGCTACCGACTTGCTTGATACCCTCCAAAAGTGTTAATCGAACGGTCAACTAAGTACAAATACAGGAGAGTGGATAGAATTATCACAAAGAAAAATGTTTGCTGTGTATGAACAAAACACACACAAAAAGAAACGCACAAACTGATTTGCGCGGCTAGTAGGTTAGTGAACCTATGTTAATCCTGACAGATTGCCTTCCAGTAAAGGTCCAGCTTCTCCTTGAAAATATTCACTGATATGGCTGGTGCCACTTGTTCAGTCATTAAATACTTGATGCGAAAAAGGGACTTCACTTTAATTTTATTAGTACTCGGTTAGTGAACCTTCTTCCTATGACCTCTGAGATTATTAGTGCTGGAGGGAGCAAAAACGTAAGACATATAAACACTCAAATCACAGGTAAAGACACGAAATGCTAGTATAAGGTTACTTTGCGTCCTACGTTACGACAAGGGGAAAAGTTTAGGCGCTCATCGTGAGGGAGTTTAGAGAGACACTTCAATTATTTAGTTCCCACACGCTCAAATAGTTCAAATTATTATGGATGGAATAGGGGAAGGTTTCTCTCAACGGACCTCCGTACCTAGTACAGTGGAATCATCGATGCCTCCAGGCAGGAACCTAGGTATATTATCGATAAAATGGGAAAAAGGAAAAGAAACTGGGAAATCATAATAAGATACCATATTTAGTCCTTAAGAAGGAAGATTGAAACCTTCTATGATCAGGATATGAAAGAATCCGAGGTGATTAGGACGGGAAAATCGTTCCAGCATACAGTTGTTGTACTCAATATCAGCAGTGGGCTTCCGGTAGATAATTCCAACTAGACACCTCGAGGTAGTAAACAATATGACTGAGCACCATACGATTCATCCATGTTTTTGGAACACCATGTACAGTGATATTCCTTCCGCGGAAAAACGTTTCACGGTATTCCCAATAAATGTTACTGATGAGATCGTGCTCTGAATACGGTAAACGAGGCAGTGCTCTTACATACCCATCCGATTTCAGAAACGAGCTACCTAGTAGGACATCCCCTGCATCGGGAACGTTAGTGACCGTTACACGAAGTAGTCCTTGGTGATTTTGAAGCTTGGAATCCTTTTCCCCGAGTAAGCCGTGAGACCTTCAGAGGTTATATTTTTCTAAGTTTGAGCTCCTTGTTTAACTCTTCTCAGATAATCCTGTCATTTTTGTCCTGTAGACTGAGCGGAAGGTCAGAGATCTCTTTAAGGTTCATGATTTTGAGAAAATCATTGCGACCCGTTATCATTTCCCCAGATTTTCAGATACGTCCAAGCTGAAGACCTTGTTGTTTGGTGGTTGAAACGCGCCTCAGATTCCTGTGCTCTTTGCTGACTTATTGGACATTCGTGCAGGTAAACCGTACAGTTATGTTACAAGTTGATTTTATTACAATACCTGGGAAGTTCTGCTTCTTATGAGGTGACACCTGGTTCATTTTGACTTTGTTAATAGGGTTCCAGTAGCCTATACAGTTTTTCGGGACAACCGTTGCATTCAGAGATCACAAGTTTGCTGAAGGTGTCTAGTACCGCCGATGTCATGATGGTGTTGTGATTCAGCATATCCTCATTAGTTTCGACGCATGTTCCCTAGATACTAATGTTTCCAAGGTCTCTCTCCTCTTCTCTGGGCATCATTGGTTGTCTATCCGACTTACTAAGTATGTTGTTAGCAGCTACAGTAAGATCTGTACACGCTTCGCGGAACCAACCATTGCATTCGTCACGCTAGATGTCAGGAGTGACAGCAAAATGGCATCTGGGTTGCTCGCAGGAATTGTTCATGACTATGATGATATAAACTTCTTTAGTAGATCCCGTAACTCTTCTAGAACTACTGCCGGTCCAAAGCCCGGGTAAAGGAGGAGGGTTGGGCATGGGGTTCGCATCCTCGTCCAGTAGAAAACTAACTCGCTAAAAAAACGCTAACCAGAAAAAATAACTCAAACCATTTAAACTCTGCCCTGGGAGTTAGAAGGACTGCATGGACTGGGAGAGAGGAACAAAAACGGGGAAAGATTCATAAATTTGTGTGAATTCAACAAATTGGTCATAGGTGGCACAATATTTCCACACAAAGCTACATGGATCTCACCGAACCACACCACAGAGAATCAAATAGATCATATTTGCATCAATAAAAAGTTCCGAAGGACAATGGAAGATGTGAAAACCAGGAGAGGAGCGGACATACCTTCAGATCACCACCTGGTTGTGGCCAATTTAAAACTGAAGCTAAAGAAGAACTGGACGACTGGACAAACAGCTCTGCAAAGGTTCAACACAGCCTTCCTTCGAGATACTAACAAACTCAATGAATTCAAGATAGCTCTCAACAACAGGTCGCAAGCCCTACATGATCTACTGAAGGAAAAAGAAATTACTATGAAGGATAACTGGAAAGCCATCAAATGAGTGTTGAATTCAACGTGTGAAGAGGTTCTAGGCCCCAAGATGCATCATCACAAGGAATGGATCTCTATAGAAACACTGGACAAGATCAAAGAAAGGAAGAACAAGAAGACAGCAATTAACAATAGTCGAACACGAGCAGAGAAAGTCCAAGCACAAGCTGAGTAAACAAGCAAGTGAAGAAGAGCATTAGAGCCGACAAGCAGAAATACGTGGAAGAACTAGCAAAGATGGCAGGGAAGGCTGCAAGAGAAGGAAATATGAAACAGCTTTACGATACAACGAAGAAACTAGAAGGGAGAAATAGTAATCCAGAGAGACCAGTCAAAGACAAAGAAGGAAGACCGATCACTGAGATTCAGCAACAGCGGAACAGATTGGTAGAGTACTTCGAGGAACCCCTGAATAGGCCGGCTCCAATGAATCCACCGGACATCGAAGCAGCATACACAGATCTTCCTACAGATGTCAATCCACCAACGACGGAAGAAATCAGAATGGCCATCAGACAAATCAAGAGCGGGAAAGCAGCAGGACCCGACAATATACCAGCTGAAGCATTGAAGTCAGACATCGAAGTAACTACGAACATGCTTCATCTTCTCTTCAAGAAGATTTGGGAGGAGGAACAAGTGCCGATGGACTGGAAAGAACGACACCTCATTAAGATTCCAAAGAAAGGAGATCTGAGCAAGTGTGAAAACTACAGAGGCATTACACTATTGTCAATACCAGGAAAAGTCTTTAACAGAGTGTAGCTGAACAGGAAGAAAGAAACAGTAGACGCCGAACTCCGAGATCAACAGGCTGGATTCCGTAAGGACCGGTCGTGCACGGACCAAACTGCAACACTACGGATCATCGTCGAACAATCAATTGAGTGGAACTCGTCACTCTACATCAACTTCATTGATTATGAGAAGGCATTTGACAGTGTAGATAGGAGAACGTTATGGAAACTTCTTCGAGACTATAAAGTTCCTGAGAAGATTGTCAACATTATTCGGAACTCATACGACGGACTACAGTGCAAAGTAGTGCATGGAGGACAGCTGACAGATGCATTCCAAGTAAGGACCGGAGTCAGACAAAGCTGTTTACTCTGTCCCTTCCTCTTTCATCTAGTGGTCGACCGGATTATGAAGACCTCGACATCTGAGGGAAAACACGGCATACGATGGACAGCTCAGAACCAATTAGACGATTTGGACTTCGCAGATGACCTAGCCCTTCTATCTCATACACACGAACTAATGCAGATAAAGACAGCCAGCATAGCAGCAGTCTCTGCATCAGTAGGCTTCAACATACACAAGGGGAAAACCAAGGTCTTCAAATACAACACGGAGAACAGCAATTCAACCACTCTTGATAGCGAAACTCTGGAAGATGTGGAATCCTTCACATACCTGGGAAGCATCATCGATGAACAAGGAGGTTCAGATGAAGACGTAAATGTGCGGATTGGCAAAGCAAGGGCCACATTCCTACAACTGAAGGACATATGGAACTCAAAACAACTTTCAACCAATATCAAAGTCAGTATCTTCAATACAAACGTTAAGTCAGTCAATTCTACTGTACGGAGCCGAAACTTGGAGAACTACAACAACCACCATCAAGAAGGTACAAGTATTTATCAATAGCTGTCTACGCATGATACTCAACATCCATTGGCCGAATACCATCAGCAACAGCTTTTTATGGGAGAGAAACAATCAGATTCCATCTGAAGAGGAAATTAGGAAAAGACGATGGAAATGGATAGGACATACACTACGTAAATCATCAAACTGCATTACGAGACAAGCGCTAACTTGGAATCCTGAAGGGAAGCGGAAAAGAGGAAGGCCGAAGAACACATTACGTCGGGAAATAGAAGCAGATATGAAAAAGATGAATAAGAACTGGAAAGAGCTTGAAAGGATTGCCCAGGACAGGGTTGGATGGAGAATGCTGGTGAGCGGCCTATGCTCCTTCACGAGGAGTAACAGGCGTAAGTAAGTAGTTGATCCTTAAAAAAGTCAAAGGCCGTGAAACAAGATGGTGGTACACTTAAAACGGTTGAAATGGATAAAAACAGGTGGCACACAAGATTACGATACACTAACAATAGTTCTGACGTGAAAAACTGAATTGTAGACTGAGGAGAAAGCCACAGTCAATTACTAACCTGGCTAAAACTAAAAGAAAAATAATCTACCGAACGTTAGCTCGGGACAGATTCTTCGGATGAAAAATCAGTACTTTTGTTGAGTAGCGACGCAGCAAAGGATTAAAAATGCAGATCACGTTGTGAGTAAACTTCCCGTTCGTAAAATCTTCCTCCAATTTTAAGTAAAATTACTCAAAATATTTGTGGATTGAAGTCTACCTGAATCGAGTTTCTGTTTTAAGCCATAACAGGCCACTGTTACCTCCAGGTAAGAGTTTTCTGGACGGTTGTCTTGCTACCTACACGTTTGAGCTTAAAAATCTGGGGAGCAAGTAACTCGAGATAAACAGGCTTAAGAAAAGTTGTTTACGGTCTTATTTGCGGATTCTTCGAACATGGAGTGCTCTAACGTGTTTATTTATCTATCCAATTTATTGGTCCCAAATAATTTTCCCCACAAATAATAGATTGTTTCGATAGTCTACAGGTAGCCTACAGGTACTCTTCGCGTTAGGTTGGCGCATAGGATTTCCTCTGAAATTTGAGTTTTATTTATAGGGAT